GGCCGCCCCGTCGTCGCCGCCCCGCGGTGGTCGCCGCCGGGTTGCGGGGCGGGGGAGTCGCCTTCGACTGTCGTCCCTGCGCCGCAGCCCGCCCGCAGCCCCAGCCCGAGTCCTGCGCTTTCCCCTTGGGCTCCCCGGCGCGGACTTGCGTGTAGGACCCGTGCCCTGTGGTTTCGGTTACTGGGCACCAGGAGCCCCCGGCCCCCGGGCTGTGCGGGGGCAGCATGCTTGCCCCTGAGGGAGCAGTGATGGCTATTTGGGGCCCGTTTTCTCCTAGGAGCTTTGCGTAATGGGGGAAACTGAGGCACGGGGTTCTCTGGCTTGTGACTGAAGTGCTGACACAGCAGCCTCCATACTTGCCTTATGGGTTCTTGAAGGTTCAGGGTTGTGCCTGTGATATTATTAAAGACAAAAAAAGTAGTTAGACTAACCCCATGTTACACCTCTCCATCTCCCCCTCCCCAAATATATATTTTTTCCCATAGAGGAAAAAGTGAGTTTGTCCTGCGACATAAAAGATGACCTTTTAATCTAAGAAAGTCATCTGTCCTGGTTCCCTTACTTGGAGTACCCTGTTTTCAGCTCATTTTCATGCTAGGGTAAACTAGATTCTCACGCTCTTGCACCCCTGTAGTAACTTTGAAGAGTCTGTACTTTCCTCAATCAGTGGTTATCAAACTTTCCCCATCCGTGGGGAGCCTATTGGCAGTAAAAGATACTTGGATTACCCAATATAACATTGCTTTTCTCTCACAAACACTCCCTAAAACTTCTCTTACGTTAATAGAGAATTCTTTTAATGTAACAGCAATCAAATGATTTAGAAACATGGTATTGTTGATATTAGGCCAAAAAAATGCATCCTTTGTAAATGACAATAGCCTGGTTCTTTAAATGACTGCATTTCTGCCGAAAGGGAAAAAAGCTTTGCACAGACTCCTAGGTATTTACATAAATACGGTGATTCCCGAGAATTGATGTGGGCTGGACCTATTGCACGGGATGGCTCTTTTAATACTGCACTATAGAATAGTCTTAAGTGTTTTCTCCTGGAGCCCGACTTTGTTTCATTCCTGGGACAACTAACTGTGTTGTGTGGACATTCTGAAGGGGAAAGATACATTTGTTTTAAAAATTTGAAACTTGCAGCCTGTAATTTGTTTCTGGATGTACAGAGCATGATGGCGTCCGAGGTAGCTGGTGTGGCCAATGCCCCCAATCCTCCGGAATCCTCTTCTAGTTTATGTGCTTCCAAATCAGATGACGGTCTCCTAGATGGTCTAAGGTAATGTATGGATTCTTGACTGGGAAGATTTGGGGTGGGGGGAGGAGGGGTAAAGGGCTTTTGTGCTGGGCCTCTTATGGAAGTGTAGCTGGTCTTTCCTTTTATGACTCTAGTAGCACTGCACTAGATTAAGCTTTTTAAAGATAGGGACTATCTGATCTATACTTGTATTTCTGGTACCTAACATAGCATCTGACACTCAGCAGACGTGCTGAATGTTTGTTGACTAAATAGATTAGAATACAGGGGGTCAAACTCCCAAAAGTGCAAATATTTCCTCACTCTATCCTACATGAATTAGATGTTCACTTAACCACATGTTTATATATTATACGTATTTATACATAGATACATCTATATGATAGGTATATACATAGATAAGTGCACAGGTATATATATGTGTGTGTGTTTCTATATCTGTAACTATAGACAGGTAGCTTTGGTAATATGGCTTACTGCTTTATATATATATTTTGCCTTCCATGGGAACTCTTGAGAACAGGAATTATGATTACCCAACCTTGTATCTTACAGTGCTTGACACTTTGTGTGTACAATGTTGTACTAAATTGACTATGTAGTCTATCTCAGCTCTTTATTCTAGAGTACCCAGGACCTAATACAATAGAAAAAATACTGTACTAATAGCTTTATATGTATTAACACATTTAATCCTCCCAACAATCCCAGGAGGTAGGTGCTAATGTTATTATTCCCATTTACAGGTGAGGAAACTGAGACACAGAGAGGTTAGTAACTTACCCAAGGTTACCAAGCTATGTTGGAGTCAGGGTTTGAACCCGTGCTTCTCTGACTCCAGAGTACTTAATAAATATTTGTTTAAATGAACAGAAGTTTGTTAGTGAACAGGTAATTGGGGAAAATATTAAGTAAGCCTAACCATAAACTTGGATCTTCATTTTGTAAATAAAATCAGCCGTATACTACTCTTAATATTACCAGTTAAGGTTTATTGAGTGTTATTATGTGCCAGGCACTGTAGTAAATATTTCAGATGTATTATCTCATGTAATCCTCATAATAATTGTATTACATAAGTAATATTATTTCTGTTTTTAAAATGAAGTAGTTTGGCCAGAGCCAAACAACTAGTAAAGAGCAGAGTCAGGATTCCCATCAGGTACTCTATATGCCCAAATTTGTAGTTAAATGCCCCCTCACCCCTCAGTTAACTACCAGCAAGGAATCAGCTTGGAGTATTTATATTTTCATATTACAAGGTGCTCTCTCAGCTGTTTTATTTTGAACAGCAAGTACAATTGAGGAAAGAAAGGATAGTAACCTGAAGCCTTAGTCAATGCTAGTGTGGGGTGCTTGAGGGTATCTGTTGACAAAATCAGTTTTTAAAAAAGGTAAAGAAATTTAACACAGATTTAGTCATTATTCCTGGTGAAAAAACTTAAAATTGTGGATGTTGTATGTCATTGTAAATAGGTTTTAAAGATCTCTTTGAAAACTAATATGTTGCCCTGGCTGGTGTGGCTCAGCGGTTAGGGCATTGGCCTGAGCACTGAAGGGTCACAGGTTCAGTTCCTGGACCTGGGCTGCAGGTTCAGTCCCCAGCCCTTGGTTGGGGTGCATGTGCGAGGCAACCAGTCGATGTGTCTCTCTCATATCAGTGTTTCTCTCTCACATCAATGTTCCTCCCTCCTTCCCTCCCTAAAAATCAGTGGAAAGAATATTCTTGGGTGAGGATTAACAAAAAAACAAAGAAACAAAAAACCAATATGTTAAGTTTCTGTGATAAACAATAAAGCAACTATCCCAGTGCTGTACATATATGTACTTGTCTGGGATAAAATGCCTACTGACAGCTTCAGTTTTGGATTCAAAATTGTTTGTACCTCAAACAGCTTGAAGTGAAGGTGCTGTGCTCTGGAAAACTTGAAGAGCCTAAAAAGTAGTTCTGGTCAGAGATCTATATAATGAGTTTGAGTGAAAATTATTTTGTGAAACAGTGGAATAAAAACATTTCTAAATTAATATTTTATTTATTAAAATATTATCTGTAACTAAATTAATACATGTAACTAAATGAAATAGCCTAACTAGCATTAGGCTATTTCCTCTGTATCCCTAAAACTTATTCAGCTTGGCCCTCAAAAGGCTTTTGGATCTTCAGAGTCACTTATGTGTCATCGTTTCCTGGAGACTGTCTTCAGAACGCAGGTTCTTTTTAAAAAAAAATATTTTTATTGATTTTAGAGAAAGGAAGGGAGAGTGAGAGAGAAACATTGATTGGCTGCCTCCGGCATGCCTCCTACTAGGGATTGAGCCTGCAACCTGGGCATGCGTCCTGACTGGGAATCCAACTGGCAACCTTTTGGTGCATGAAACCATGTTCAACCACCTGAGCCACACCATCCGGGGCCAAAACCCAGGTTCTTAACCACCAAGCAGTACTCCCTGCATATAAGGTAAAATCACTGGATAGAAACTAAGTTCCTTTTCATATTGATAATTGGAGGTGTTTAGAGTCCAGTTTTGTTCTTTTAGTGGTTATGTTAGAAGTATTGTATATTTAACCCTCTTTAAGACTGGGTGAAGAGAGAAACTTTTTGTCTTGTGTTTTGATAGCCCCACAGACCCTGCACAGAAGCACAAGAACTCGCCTCTGTCGAGTGTAAGTAGCCAAACGATAACCAAGGAGAATAACAGAAATGCCCATTTGGAACAACCAGAGCAGAATCCTGGTTCGTCAGCAGGTGACACCTCAGCAGCACACCAGGCGGTGTTAGGAGAAAACTTGATAGCCACAGACCTTTGTCTTTCTGGCGGTGGGGCTCAGTCTGATTTGAAGGACGTGGCCAACACAGCAGGAGAGGAGGGGGACACATGCCTCCGGGAGAGCCTCCATCCTGTCGCTCGGCCTGTTAAGGCAGGGTGCCATACAAAGCAGCTTGCCTCCGGGAATTGTTCTGAAGAGAAGTCCCCACCAGCCTCCATCCTAAAGGAAGGGAGCAGGGACACAGGCTTGGATTTCCGACCTGTAGTACCTCCAGCAAATGGGGTTGAAGGAGTCAGAGTGGATCAGGATGGTGATCAGGATAGCTCTTCCCTGAAGCTTTCTCAGAACATTGCTGTACAGGTCAAGTATCAAGTTTTTACTATTCAAATGGAATTTGGGCTTTTTTTTTTTTTTTTTTTTTTTAAGGGAAGAGACATTTCTTCATGGTTGGTGGAGACTACTCTTTATTGTTTTTTTTTCTGGCAACTGTCATACTATTTCCATTTGGTTCTGTGTGATGACTTCATCCTGGTGTTCAAGGACTAAGAAAGCCAGGAGCCATTGTATAATTGTGGCAACTAGGGATTTTATGATCTACATATCGTCTCTCTCCCTGAGTGACTGAGTGCAGTCATTGGCATTCAGGTGGATGTCAGTGTCCATTGGCCAGAACTACGGCGCTTCTCTCACTGCGAAGCCAATAAGTTAGCTGCTTTGTTACTTGCAGCAGATTTCCATGTGAAAGTACTAGAGTAATTCTCCCTTTTAAAATGCCACTGAACAGTTCTGAATATATTGTTTCTTTCTTTATAGACTGACTTTAAGACGGCTGATTCACAGGTAAACACAGATCAAGATATTGAAAAGAATCTGGTAAGTATTTAACCTGTCATTGTCGACATATGAAACCATTAATGCGGAATATCCAGCACTGTGTGATCTCAGTTAGAAAAGGTGCAGGAACCCCCTTTATAAAATTCCCAACATTAGTCAGCTAACTTCTACCTGGTCACTTCCAGAGATGGGAAGCTTACTGCTCACAGAGCAGCCTATTGCATTTTTATTATTATTTATTTTTTGTTAATCCTTACCCGAGGATGTTTTTTCATGTCAGAAAAAAATATGGTAGTCTCCACCAACCATATTTTTTGTTAATCCTTACCCGAGGATGTTTTGCATGTCAGAGAGAGACTAGAACGGAGTGGGGGAGAGGAAGAGAAACATTGATATGAGAGAGACATTGATTGAGGCTACCGGGGCAGGAAGAACCTGCAACCCAGGTACATGCTCTTGACCGGGAATCGAACCCATGACCCTTCAGTTCATGGACCGATGCTCTAACCACTGAGCAAGACTGTCCAGGGTGCCTGTTGCATTTTTAAAACAGCTCTTATTGTTAGATCTCAATCTGAGGTGAGGACAGAACCTCTAAAACTTCTTGTAATTCTCTCTTGAGTTGTATCTGCATATAATACATGTAGAGTAAACCTAAACCCTCGTTTACTTGTTAGCCCTACATATTTTTTTTCTAGTGGGGGGTGCACCAATTGAATTCAACAAACGTTGGAGTGCTGGTTATGTGCTAGATATTGTTCCAGGTACTTGGGACACAGCAGAGAGCAAAACAAAGGCTCCTGCCCTCATGGAGCTCACAGTCTAGTGTTTATGATCACTTTGCCTGCACACTGTCTGTGACCTTGGGCAAGTCACGGCACCTCTCTGTGCCTCTGTCCTCAGCCACCTGATGCTGAAAGAAGTGGACCCAGCCCAGACATGGGTGACGTGTCTGGTGCGTTATAGATGCTGAACAGACACCACCCCCAATCCACCACCCAGAAAATAGATCGGGCTAGAAGTTGACTTTTATTACTAAAGTACAAAGGGGGAGGGCAGAAGGATTGGAACTGTGTAGTCTGGTGTGCAGCTGGGTGGTCTGGTGTGCAGCTGCATAAACTGCTGCTGCTGCCACTGCTGCTTGGTGGCTGCCTTGCTGGCAAGGTCCTTGGCCTTCTCTGTACTGCCAGTGCTGTCTCCTCTGCCTCCTCCTCGGCTTCTTTGACTGTCTCAGCAAGGCTTTTGGAAGGGACCTCACCTTGCAGCTTTGCCAAGATGTATTCAAAACCCTTCATCGTCTTGGTCACATTACTTTTGAACCGGGTGAGACCAAATTCCTGGACAGCTCTGAAGATGCCAAATAAGCTAAAAGAGACCCAGCCTTCCGGGCGGATTTCAGTACAGCTTCTGTTTTCAGTTCACACACTAAACAGTTCATTCCTCCACTACTATCAGCCAGGCGTGGTTGATGTTCCAGGTGAAGTTGGTCATGGTCTGGCTCTGTGGTTCCACAATAGAACCCTCCAGGATGTACACTGAGTGAGCAGCATTGACAGGAGTCTGGCTCAGTTCAGCGGGGCATCCTGTAGGTCTTGGTCAGGAGTTTCTGGGACAGGAGCTTCTGGTCAGGGGTCACCTCCCCATGCACTGTGTCTTCCGTCAAGACATGTTTACTGTAGGGATTCAGGTACTGGTGCTAGAAGGCAGTAAACTCTTGATCCCAGGAACTCTGGAGCATGCTGTGGCCCAGAAAATACTTCACCATCATCCCCAGTTGGGGCAAGGCTCAGCACCTGGTCAGCATGAGGGTGCAGTGGTGGGGGGAGGGTGCATGCCGGAGGTGGCACTCGGAAGTCAGGTCAGGTCAGCACATACCCACCGGGCTCAAAGCTCAGTCACCACCCTTCAATGCCTCACCAGCTGCTGCCACCGTGAGGAGTTGTCCAGTAGCCCTACATACTTTTGAAGGTTTTTTTCCCTGCCTCTTCCTCTTAGCTCAGGTCTGAACCTTTCCAGGTGGTGCCAATAAAGACTTTAAAATAGAGAGTTGCAACTCAGAAGTTATTAATAACAGGCAGATAAGAAGATCCTAGAGATGAGGATCTCATGGAGATATGCTGGGTAGAGGAGGACCTCCAGAGAAAGGGGGAAAAGTCATTTTTTCTTAAGCACTTGTGCTAATAATTTATTTACATATTTATTTTGTCCCTGAAATTTAAGGTGAGGTTTGGATGACTGTATAGCAATTGAAGGGGCTAACTAAAGTTATAAATGCACTTTAGTATCGGTCTGAAACTGGTAGAAACTGGCAGGCAATTGGGCCAAAAGGGGCCTAGAGTTGTGTTTTGTTTGGCTGTATCCTTCTGGGAGGCAGCGCAACCCACCATCTTTTAAAAAGGCAGTAGAGCTAGGTAGCTATATTAAATTTAGCAGCAATATAAGAAACTGGCCTCTTGTTTTATTTGCTACTTTTCATGCATTTATGGTAATTGCCCACTACCTTATACCAATGTGTTTTAAATTGATCCTCTTTGAGTTTTAGTATCTGTTTGAAAGGTAACCATAGCTTTTCTTGATTTACTGGTTTGAGGGAGGCAGAGCTGAACTGTGGTCCTTGCTTCTCCCTACTTTATATGAGGGCTTGCTGATTTGCTCAATCTGAATCCCAAGTTCCCTGGACCTCTTTGTGGGTCTGTCAATTTTCAGAGCTAAAGGTGTAGGAAATCCTGTTTCTAGATGTATTTTGGTAGGTGATGTGTTCATTGTTTTTGCCGAGTAGTCTTTCCCTTAATGGATTTTAAAATGCCTCCTTCCTCTTACTCCCTAGGGAAGAGATTGGCAAACTTTTTCTCTAAAGGGTCAGATAATAAATATCACAGGCTTTATGGGCTGTATGTGCTCTGTCGTAAGCACTCCACTGCCGTTGTAGTGTGAAAGCAGCCTGTAAGCCATTGGCTATGGTGTGTTTCTATAAAACTTCTATTCACAAAAACAGACAATGACTGGATTTGACCCACAGGCCGTAGGTTGCCAACCCCTGCCTTAGAGCAGTGGTGTCCACTAGAACTCCCTGTAATGATGGAGATATATTCCATGTCTGTGCTTTCCAGTATGGTAACTACCAGCCACATGTAGCTGTTGAGCACTTGGAATATGGCTAGGTGACTGAGGGGCTGGAATTTTAAAATTTGTCCTTTTAATTAGTTTAAATTAACTTAGCCCCGCATGGCTAGTAGCTACAGTGTTAGACACTGCAGCCGTAGAGCTCTGCACAGCTCCCTGAGCCAGGGCCTGATGAATGTTGCTTGCAATTAAATTGGGGAATTACATTTTTCTTCTGTTGCTACCAATAGGATAAAATGATGACAGAGAGAACCCTGTTGAAGGAGCGTTACCAGGAGGTCCTAGACAAGCAGAGGCAAGTGGAGAATCAGCTCCAGGTGCAATTAAAGCAACTTCAACAAAGGAGAGAAGAAGAAATGAAGAATCACCAGGTTTTCTGTTTATGTTAAAATTGTCGATAAGTAAAGCTATAGCCCTATGCAAACTTTGATTTTGTTTCCAAATTAATAGAAATAGGAAAGCAGTATTTAACTTTTTAATGGTTATCATAGAATTTTAAGGTTAAAAATAACTTTTGAGGGCATCTTGTTCAAACTCTCACTTCTATTTTAGTTCAGAGAGAAAAGGATTATTTATTTAATATTGTTTGTTGACATAGTTGACAGTCTACCTAGAAAATCATTTGATTGGACTCTTATATCACATTATATTTAGAAATATAATTCTAGGTAGATTAAAAATCTACATATAAAAACTGTAAAAATCTTCAAATTAGAAAAAATTTAAGAGAATATTTATAAAACCTCAAGTTGCAAGAGATCATTTTAAGCCAGGCAGAAAACCCAGAAGCCATACAAAAATTTAATTACGTATGATTAAAAACTTTTGATACAGCGAATGATACAGAAAGTAAAAAGATCAATGTTAGTCTGAGAGAAAATATTTGTAGTGCATTTGATGAAGGGTTTAATATCCATGACATTCTGAGATTCCTATCAATTCATGGTGAAAGTCTAATAATCTAGAGAAAAGCCAGGAAAGATTATTGTATTAGTTCCCTATTGCTGCTGTAACAATTTATCACGAATTTAGTGGCTTAAAACACAAATTCATAGGTCAGAAGTCCAACGTGGGTGTCATTGGGTGAAAATCAAAATATTAGCAAGGTTGTATTCCTTTCTAGGGCAGTAGGGGAGGGTCTGTTTCTCGTTATTTCCATCTTCTTGAGAAGCTGCTGGCATTCTTGACTGTGGGAGCTCCCTTCCCCGTCTTTAGTCAGCAACATTGTATTTCTGACCATCTTCCCTGTCACAGCCTTCTCTGATCACAATCGAGAAAGAGTCATTTTAAAGACCCATGTTGTGATTAGATTGGGCCCACCCAGACAATCCAGGATTACTTTCCCATCTCAAGATTCTTACCTGCATCACATCTGCAAAATTTCTTTTCCCATGGAAGGTAACATATTCACAAGTTCCAGGGGTTAGAACGTGGACATGTTTTAGGGGAGGGGACTGTTATAGACAGTAATTCACAGAAGAGGAAAAGCAAATAGGTAATAAATATATGAAAAGAAGCTCAGCCTCACTGGTATTCATTTACTGAGCAAATATTTTTTAAGTTTCTTATCTGGGCTCTGAAGATTTAGTGGTGAAAGAAACATAGTCTCTGCCTTCATTGATTACCTATTGTAGGTGGAGGAGACAGACAGTAAAAACAGTAAAGACTGGGAGGTAGTGAAATGCTCATTATAACTATTAGATACCATTGTTCCTTCTCCCCCAAGGGATTGGCAAAAATGAAGTAAGTTGTCAAGTATGAGGGAAAATTAACTCTAATTTTTAGACATTGGTAGGAGTGTGAATTGTTATGACCTTTTGGGAAAAGTTATTAGGAATTGTCAGTTAAAATTTTAAATGTACATATACTGTGACCTAGCACACTCATTATTAAGAGTCTATTGTACAGAAATAGAAGTTTTTGTATGAAAGTATAGACATCTAGAATGTTTATTATAGTATTGTTTATAGTTACAACAAAGCTGGAATCAACCTGATGAACTCTTAACAGAGAATGGTTGGACAAACCACATATATACACATTATGTCATACGCAGCTATTTTTGTGTTAGATCTGTGTTTATTGACAGTATGTTCTTTTCAAGTGGGAAAAAAACCCAGGATGCAGAATAATGTATATAAAATAACCTCATTAAAAAAAAAAAAGCAGTGAAATACATACATAAGTTTACATGTGTTCGGGTGAGAATGGAGAAAGATGTGAAAGTACAGAACAGTTAACACAGTGATTATGTTATGAATGGATTTGGTGTGAATTAGGGAGTAACTTTATCACTTTTTCATTACTTCTTATTACAAAAAATATATTTTTGTTAAATAGTAAGAAAAGAAAAAATTAACCTCATGCATAATAAAATAGGACCATAACAAAACAAGACCGTATTTGTTGAAACATTTCCACCCTGTGCAAGAATACCTTTCTTAGCATTCTTGGCAGGTTCATTCAGCCTTTATTTGAACACCAGTAATGAAGAACTTATTGCTTTACAAGGCAGTAAATTCCACTTTTTGAACAGTTAGAAATTCTTTTTCCTCTTGAATTAAAATCTGCTTTATTGTAACTATCTTCCTTGCATCTAAATACTGGCTTTTGGAGCTACTCATCAGCCAGATTCCTTCAATTCAATTTGAATTTACTAAAGTCAGTATGTTAAATTGTGATAGTTGAAAATAACTTTCAGACCAATAGAACTAATGTATTTCCTTCTTTGTTTGTGTGTGACTGGTTGTGTGGGATTCAGGAGATACTGAAGGCTATTCAGGATGTAACGATAAAGCGAGAAGAAACAAAGAAGAAGATAGAGAAAGAAAAGAAGGAGTTTTTGCAGAAGGAGCAGGATCTGAAAGCTGAAATTGAGAAACTTTGTGAGAAGGGCAGAAGGTAAATGATGCTGTTAAGAATAAAGACCCTATGTGTATATGCATAAGGGGCCAATCCTGTTTGTATTTCTAGTTTCTTTCAGTCTAATTTTTTTTTAAAAAAAACAAGTAATGATTTTAGCTTCTCCAACACCCTGTGTTAGTTTAATAAAGAAAATTTCAGAGATTCACTAATACCTTGAAATAATAGCAGTTAACTGTTGGGTACCAAGTTTGATCAAGATTTTGATATGCATCTAACACCTATTTTACTTCCTTTATAACCTGATGTTTTAAAAGTTCAGGCTACAAGAATACTTTGATTATATTTATGCTATTCAGCACCAAAAGTAAATTTCTAATAGTAACACTAAGCTGTTTGGAAAGAATTGTTTAGTGAGCCTGTGTCCTCTTCTGGGTACAAAAGCAAGAGTAAGATGGGCATAGAATTTGATGACATTTTCAGTTTTTTAGGTTTCTTAGTCTGAGTTGTTTGGAAATCAAAATAGCTATGAATACTGTGATGATTTTATTTAAATTCTACTAAAACACATTTTTATTTATCAAGAAAACCTTGGCTTGCTAATGTATGAAAGAGCTAAGTGAAAAGTAGCAAGATCATTTGCTGAATCATTTTCCAAGTATGAGAGATGATAGTTATGAAAGGTCGTATGAGAAAGAATGTTTAGAAGAGGCCTTAAGACAAGTCAGTTGTTCTGTTGAGAATCTAGTGATAATGATTAGAAGATGGATACGTTGTCCGTGATGATCTATATGCCAGTAATTATGAAGCATGTACTAGAAGCAAAACACTGTACTAGGTTTTGTTGTCCATCCAAACAGCTACCCCCCCCCCAACAACATGTCCTCTGCCATCATCTTCATAGTCTATGTGGGGAAGATGAAGCATAGTTAGGCACCTGTAAGCAACTTAGCAGCAGATATCTTAAAGAACAGGAGTTGGGAAAGTGAGTCTGTAATTCTCTTCTAAGCTCCGTGAAAGATTTCCTTTTGATGTGTGCTCCATACACTGTACATATTTCCTTTTTTTTTATGTTTTTATTGATTTCAGAGAGAGGAAGGGAGAGGGAGAGAGAGAGAGAAACATTAATGAGAGAGAACATCATTGATCGGCTGCCCCCTGCATGCCCCGTCCTGGGGATCAAGCCAGCAACCCAGGCATGTGCCCTGACAGAGAATCTGTTACCTCCAGGTTCATGGGTAGATAGATGCTCAACCACAGAAACACCGGCTGGGCCATAGCTCTCTTCTTTACCATCTGATTGAATAGCTACAAATGGTGATGGATAAATTAACAATTTGCTGCTTGTAGTCTTGAAGATCTAATTGTTTTTTTTAAATGTATGTCATGCTTCCTGTAAATTTGGGCTTCATTTTCTCAGAAGTAGGGAAAGAAGTTGTCTGTGTGTATCTTTGTTGTAGCTGTGGTGTATAGGTTTTGTTTAGCATTCCATTAAACATAAGCACTGTAGGCACAAAGATTTTGGTCATTGTATTAGTATGCTCAGGCTCCCATAACAGAGTACCATAGACTGAGTGGCTTAAACAACAGAAATTTTACTTTCTCACAGTTCCAGAGGCTTGAAATCTAAGATCAAGATGCTGGCAAGGTTGGTTTCTGGTGAGACCTCTCTTCTTGGCTTGCAGACACAACTTCTTGCGGTGTCCTCGTATGGCTTTTCTTCTATGCACGCACTCTCCTGATGTCTCTCTTCTTCCTATAAGGACACCTGTCCTATTGGATTAGAGCCCCATCCTAATGACCTAATTTGACTTTAATTACCCCCTTAAACACCCTATCTCCAAATATAGCCATATCAGGGTTAAGACTTCAACATATGAACTTGGGGCACAGTTAAGTCTATAATGGACATATTTGCTATTCATAGCTCTTTCATTCTTTCAGCCAACCTTTATTGAATATCTACTATAAGCCAGACACTATGGGTCTGGAGAATGAAAAGCCCTCAAGGTGCTTGCTGTTTAATAGGGTAAATAGATAATTACAGAATAGCACAATGATACCATGATAGTTGTGGTATGAAAACATTTAGAAGAAGTGTGTAACCAGACTGGGTAGGGGAGTGAGAGGACTTTTAAGAGGTAATCAAACCCTCGACCCTTCAGTCCACCAGGCTATGTTCTAACCCAGGGTGGGGAACCTTTTTCCTGCCAAGGGCCATTTGGATATTTATAACATCATTCGCAGGCCATAAAAAATTATCAACTTAAAAACTAACTATGAAAAAAGCTCCTAGATTTATTGAGTTTTGAGACCCGCCTTCGGTTGCATTGGCAGGGCCAAAATGATTTATACAGCCCGCAGGCCAGATGTTCCCCATCCCTGCTAATCACTGAGCCAAATTGGCCAGGGTGAGGACAGTTATTTTCATTATCTCTTGCTGTGTAAAAAAAAAAAGTAAAACTTAGTATCTTAAAATGACTAATTTATTATTTCTCAAAATTCTTTGGGTTGATGGAATTTCTTATGGCTCTGCTAATTTCTTTTGGAGTCATTGCTGTAGCTCTAGTCAGATGGCAGCTGGGAGTGGAACATCCAAGGTGGGCTCAGCTGGTCCACTGGGATGTCTAAGTCTCCCCCCACACCTCCTTTCCCCCTCCCTCCCATGTTGTCTCAGGGCTTTTTCCTCTCCAGGTGGTCTTTCCAACAGAGTTCTTACTTGATGGCTCAGAGCTCCCAGTAGTGCAAAAGTGAATGCTTCCAGGCTTTCCTAAGGTGTAGTCTTGGCACTGGAACAGTGCTACTCCGTGGCATTCTATTGGTTAAAATGAGTCAGAGGCTAGCTCAGAATTAGTGTTGGAGGGGACTACCAAGAGCGTGAACACCAGGAGGCCTGATTCATTGGGAGGGTTCCATCTTTGGAGATTTGCTACCACAGCAAGTAACACACCTTATTTAACTTTTGTTGCTCAGCATGTATTAGTATTTTTAGCTATGGGAAATCATAGAAGTTATATAAATGGGTGATGCATAATTAGAGACGTTTTAGAAGTATGTAGGATTAATTATGGGGAGAGACAGAGGCTGGGATATCAACCATTAAGCTCTTACAGTAAAGTGAGTTTAAAAGGATCAGTGTAAAACTGATGGTGGTGGAATGAAAAGGAAGAAATGGATTCAGTAGGAATTGGCGATTTAAAATATTAAGACAGAGGATGAAGTAAAAAAATGTCACTGTTTTGACCCTGAGTAAGTATGTGCCACATGGACAGTAGTTGGGAAGTAGAATCCCAGTTCTAAGTTTTGTGCTTAAAATAATAAATTTGATGATATGGGATATGTGAATGAAAATACTTAGTAGGCAGTTGGAAAGAGGAGACTTGGATACAGAAGAGATGCTATGTCTTGATTTGGTGTTGACGGCACAGAGATGATAGTTAACACTATGGAAGTGGATTTTCATGGGAGAAAGCTTAGGGTGGGGCTCAGTTCTGAACACTGAGGTACACCTACAGTTCAGGAGAAGAGAGAGGAAGGGAATGTAAGAAGGACAATCACGGGAAGAAAGGGAAGCGGTTTAGGACAGTAGAATGAGGTTTCAAAAGAGACGACGATTTAACAGTGTCAGCAGCCTGCTGGGAGGTGAAATGAGAGCCAGGTCTGAATAAAGGCCATGGTAATTATGGAGTGTAAGCAGTGGCACTTCTATACAGGGGAATTACGTTTTGTATTTATTTTCTCCCAATGTTTTATTATGAAAATTTTCAGACACGGGAGAAACTGTAAGTATTGTACATAAACATTTGCCACCTAGATTCAACAGTTAACATTCTGCTAAATTGAGTGTCTTTCCATCCTGCTTTCTCTATCCATTCATCAGTCCTTTTTTTTTTTTTTTAAATTTTCACTCGAAGATATGTTTTTTGTTGATTTTAGAGGATGCGGAGAGAGAAACGTCAATCATTGCCTCCTGTAATACCCTGACTGGGGATCAAATCTGAAACTTAGGTTCTGCCCTGACCAGGAATTGAACACTCCACCTTTTGGTGTACAGGCGAGGCTCCAACCAGCTGAGACACCCGGCCAGGGCCATCTTTTTCTTTTTTTATGCATATCAGAGTAAGTTGCATTCACAGTAACTTCACCTCTAAACCCATAAACATGTATATTATAATTAGAGTTTAATATTATTTGCATTTCCTTTTTTTTTAAAATTCTCACCCGAGGAATGAGGATACTTTTTCCATTGATTCAGAGAGAGTGGAGGGGAGAGGGAATGACAGAGAAAGAGGGAGAAGGAGAGGGGGCGGAGAGAGAGAGAAACACCAGTGTGAGACCCACATCTATTGGTTGCCTCTCGCATGTGCCACAATCAGGGCCGGGGATCGAACTGGCAACCCAAGTACATGCCCTTGACCAGGAATCAAACCTGCGGCCCTCCAGTGCTCAGGCCAACACTCTTAACTGAGCCATGCTGACCAGGGCTGCATTTCCTCTTTTTAGTAATAAAGTGTATATGCAGTTAAATACATAAATCTTAAGTGTGCCATTGAATGAGTTTTGGTAAATGCATGTACCTGTGTAATCAATCCCCATAAAGATACAGGGAATACTACCATTAAGTCAGATGGTTCCCTGGTGTACCTTCCCAGTCAGTCCCTGTCCCAGCTCTCCCAACGGCAACCACTGTTCTGATTGTTTCACCATTTGAATTCTGCCTGTTCTAGAACGTCACATAAATGAAATCATACACTGTGTAATCTTTAATGTAGAACTTCTTTCATTCAGCTTTTGAGTGCTTTTGACACTCATTCAGTTTGTCTCTTTTATTGTCAAGTAGTATTCCTTTTGTTAATATACCGGTTTGTTTAGCCATTCTTTTGTTGATGAGCTTGTAGCAGCTTCCAGATTTTGATTATTATGAACAAACTGCTGGGAACATTCAAGTGCAACTCTGTGTGTCAACATGTGCTTTTATTTCTCTTGAATAAATTCCTAGGAGTAAAATGCTGGATTGTAGGGTAGGTATACTATGTTTA